ACGAGAGAAATGACATTAAGACGAGGACATAGAGAAGAACTACTGGAGAGCGTCTAACCAAACCAAAGAGAAGAAAAGCGCTCTTAATGTCATCAAACCTCAGTACAATACTTCTATCTTTTCTCCCCTGACTGAATGTTTCAGTCCTTATTGGGTGTTATTGAACTCAACTTGTACCCTAAAAAAAGCGTAGTTAACGACGTGCCCCTTGCCACTGTATGAAACACAAAGTTAGTGTAGATAGTTCGGTCGTCAGCTAGTATTTACAGGTATTGTTAAAAAAGATAGACAGTTTAACCTTTTGTTCATGATTGGAGAGGACTTGTTTTAAAAGTTTATGAAGAGAAGTAACATTCAAACTCTTTCAAAAGTTTTCAGATAATATTTTGTTGTTAATGTTTCTGATCTGAACCATTGTTTCTGGGTCTAAATACGTGTCAGCTGTGTTTCTGGCTTTACTACCTAAACCCCGTTCCAAAAAGGTCTGTGTTTGGTGTCTGTAAGACATCAAGTCTCCCATCGGGGGTGTTATGGCCCACAGAGTGTCACTTCATAGTGTGTATGGCACCCCCCCACCAAGTGGCTAATGAGGTCAAATGACGAATTACACAGTCAGTTTAACCCAAAACCTTGGGGCCTTCGACAAAGAACAGCTTGCAGAGGGTGTTTGAGCCCAAATCCAGGACACCTGTGAGGCAGCAGGTCACTGTTTCCTTCATGCCTGATTGTAGGATGGCAGAGTCAAAGACATACACAGGAAACATGAAGACAAAAGATCTGCTGATAAGTACAAAAAAAATTACTCGCATATAGCTACTCTAAATTTTCTAACTAGAACAGAAATGTGCAGAGCAGGCGTAGCGTTTCAGCAGACGTTTAGGTTCATAGCCAGTGCAGCTGCCCCTCATGGGCTGAGATTAATTGCTGGATGGATAAAGCCACAGTGATTGACAGATGAGTTGCAGCATTGAGGAGACATGAGAGAGATGAATGTGGAGCAGTTCAAAGTTAAATTAGCATTGAGTTCTTTGAATTCCTCAAAAGAAATATGCTTGAATCAGACATTTGGAATTTATTTCTTGTGAAGTTTGATTTATGCTTGTGGAAAAATTAACAACAGGTGTCCAGAGTTTTGTTCTGACTTTGCTTTCATTTGGATACTCTTGAAAGCCAACACAAAAACAAGTCAGACAAAGACTGAGACCCAAGCTGTTCTGCTAGAAATGCATGAAGTATTAAAGGGGGAGTTAGGATTTCTCTCATCCACTGTCAGTGTATTATTAAAAGTGGATAGAGTTGGCACACCCCAAGTCTGGTGAAGCAGTCAGGCGAGGCCTACTAAGATGAAAGCTAAACAATGCAGTGTATGTTATAACATTTTCAGAGCTTTACTTTGCTGTCAGACAGACATTACTCTGGAAGTACATATTCTCAACTGTATAACTTCTGTTTTCTCACAAGTTCTTTACAGTTGGTCTCTTTTTGACCTCCAGTCTCCACAAAAGACAAATGCTATCAACCCCAAATTCTAGGGACAGACAAAAAGTTATTTTTGACAGACAAAAAGTTGTTTTTGTCTGTACCAGTTTTGTCTGCGTTATTAATTAAGTGCAAGAGGCTGACATATTTGTCCTTTGCTCAAGCTGCAATTGCCTGTGGTCTGCATTGTTGTGTTAGCAGGCTACTGTTAGCACATTTTGTTAACTCATAGCTTCATATAGCACTTAAAATTGACACGGAATGACCGTGATCTAAAGACACTTACGTGACCTCGACTAAAACAGCGTCATATGCAAGGCCGTCCCGTCCCATACATGTAGACATGATGTAAACAGACAACAGTACAGCTGGCCAGACTCACCCTTCTCACTCATTGTAGACAGTCATGACTCAGAGATGTTTAAAGAGGATAAACTTGATTTCAGCTTTGTTCATGTGTAAAATGTTTCAAATTCTTCCATTAACTAAAAAACGTTTTGATATCCCTTTAGGTATTCCCTATACCTTTAATTCTGAAAGATGAACATAAACTATGCATTAATTAATTTATTAATTAATTACAAAATACCAAATTAAATCAAGATGAAAATATTCATTTATTGATGCCCTTCTACAATTTTAATAAAATTTACCATTTTATTTTTTGCACAACTGGCAGATACATTACAAGTCGTCCATTCTGAGTAACTGATATACCCAAAATACAATTTCCATGTGTGCATCTGATTTTTCACACTTTCCTTATTTTGCAGAATACAAGACGATTCATACTGTTCATTGAGGAAGCAAGGAGAGAGAGAGAGAGAGAGAGAGAGAGAGATAGAGAGAGAGAGAGAGAGAGAGAAAGAGAGGGTGCACAGGGCTTTAAAATGGCATGCTGTATTGCAAAAACTAACAAAGGCACCTCAACAAATATTCAGCCACATGTAGTTTATGGCCTATCATCTGATGGAATTATTTTCCTAGCGGCTCCAGGTGCAGGGACAGGATAAAGGCAGTTTATCACCAGAGACCCAGACAGCTAATGCAGCATAAAAAACAGCTCAAAATTTGCCCATGGTTGGAGCTACCCTTTATTGTAACCGGGTCTAGCTTAATGAACTACATGGTGCCTTGAATGACAAATAAATAGTGTTTTTTTTTTTAGAGAAACAAACTTCTCAATGCATCACTAATAAGGTTAATTTGAGTCCCAGTGGGCAGTAGGCATTAGCCTAAGTGTTTATCTGCTTTAGCAATGTCCCCTGTGAAAGTGACAAAAAGAAGCAGTGCTGGCAGTGTCATTAGACCCACACTAAGTGGAAGGTGAATGCCCAATTCACTCGTCAGTACCTTGCCAAATGAACAGGATGCAATCACAGATTACTTTTTGTTTCATCAATGGTAAGAGATGCTTGTGTGATTGTTCTTTTGCACATTTTAACTAAAGCTCTTCATGGTCATGTGCGTGCTGCATGTTAAATGTATGTTTCTCAACGTGGATGTCCCATTTCCCTAATCTGATTACAATTACAAATTTAGGTTATGGCCGACACAGCACAACAGTTATCTCCGGCCAAACGGTAGACTTCCTTAATTAAAAATGGCAGACATTGAGAGTGCTGTTGAATGAATTATTTCTCCCAACGCCTCAGCACCATTCAGTCAAACAGTTTATATATGTCAGAGAGCTAAACCTGAGGCTGCTGTTAAATTCACCAGGGCTACTGTTGCATACAGTGGGCCTGATAAGCCTCATTTGAATAATTCCCATATAGCTCTGTTGCTTTATGTTTGAGTTTAGCCATCACAAACGTGGTGCTTATAAAGTTGTCAAATGCCACTGTTAATCAATAAATCAATAACAAGCTTTGGGCGCTGCATTGTATTTTGGCGCAGATACTATTGACAGCCTCTCTAAGTGGAAAACTTATTTTAGGTTTTGCCTTTGCAAGAGAATTTGACATTTTAAGTTCTTTTCAGCCATGCCTTTGTTGCATTTGTGAAATTTTGTTGAAAACAAGCCAGCCGCCCGACAGTCGGCGTTCTAGCTTCATGGGAATTGATTGTACGTTTGCAAGAAAGTGCCTGGCTAAGCTCCAGATCTTGTTTTTTAGTTAGTTTGTTTGTTTGTTTGTTTGTTTGTTTTTTGTTTTTGTTTTTTTGGGGGGGGGGTTGTCTAAGTCTCAAGTTCATTAAATCACTCTGTATACAGATTAGTGGGAGCCTATTAGTTGAAAAGAGTTGTGAGATTTTCCACTCCCACATCTGTTCTCAAAGTCAGCATGACACTCACAAAGTCTGCAAAGACCTGCTGCAAAACCAAATGCTTTAGGGTTATTGGAGGCTGATCTCTAGGACAGGATGTAATTAAGAAGAGGACATTAGAGAGGATAAAGTCCATATCTTAGAAATCTCAAGAGGGTTAATGCATCACTAGACACGCACAGGGGGGGTAAAAGTCCTTGTACTTCCCGTCTGTCATGCCACTATCAGCATTGTTCATTAGCAGTATATTTACGTGAAATTGTAATGTTAACCAGTGACATTAAACTACACACAGGAGGGGGGGCTGAGATCAAGATTGCCTCTGCAGCAACAGTATCTGAAGATGGATATTGTCTGCTGGGTGCCAAAACTATTTTGAGAGCCTGAGCCCCTGACTTGTCCCCGGGCAGCCTCTGATCCGCTTTGTCATCAGGTGTGAGAGCAACTAACACACCACACATATAGGCCTACATGCTGACACCTACAAGCGACAAACCGTATAGATCTTTGTCACTTTTTGGGAAAGAAGAAAAGGTACAGAAGAAAAAACAAAACAACTATATTTATCAATTTCTTGTACAAATCGGGAAAAAAATTGGAGCATTAGGGAGACACTCTTGAGATGACATTCTTGATAACCTTGAAGTGGATGCCAGAATGTAGAAACACACTGTGGGGGCTTTGCAGTATTTTTGGGTGAACCACAAATGAACAAGAGAAGTAATTACGCAAAAGCACAAGTTTTAGGTGACTTTGTCCAGAAACAAAGCTTTGACCATTGATGCAATCATAATGAAAGACGTGCATAGATGCTTCCAGGTGTTTAATGGTGTTGTTTTGGTTTATTTCAGTCTGTAAGTTCCCCATGTTTGCTCATGCTGATAGAGATGACGCACTGCCATATATGGCTTTTTTTTCTCCATGTTTATTCAATTTCCTAACTCATTGCCTTTTCTGCTTACCTTTCCATTTTCGTTGCGCGGCGAGCTGAGATGAATTTTTATCGCGCGCGCGCTTATTGTTTAAACACACACGGACACTCAAAGGCGCACACTCATTTATTTTCCTAGTTTTTCTCGTGCATATGAATGTGTTTTTGTGTTGAATGAAGTCGTGTCCTGGAGAAGTTTCCACAGCGTGCGTCAAAAGTACGTGAGGCTCGTGGCGCATTGGACGGCAGTAGTGTTGAGTGAGCGGAAGGAGGAGGAGGAGGAGGGAGATCATACATTAACTCCTGCTGGCTGCGGGGACTCTCCAGTTGAAAGGAGCCAAGCAAGAGGATGCACTCAGAGCATCACTGACTGATTTTCTTTTTTTTTCTTTTGAGAAAAGCGAGAAATGAAACCCAGACGAACATCCAGTTGATTTTTTTATTGGGTACTCGGTGTTTTCCAAAGGATTTTACGCATCCGAAAAGAGTCAAGCAAACGCTGCGGAGATGAGTGTTGCGTGGTTTTTCATGCTCCCAAAGGATCCCCTCTCCTGATAAATGGACAAAAGAGGACAAAAACAAGGCTGTCCATGATATTTTCCAAAAAAAGGTTGCAAAGGTGGAGCGATTAGAGAAGGGCTGATGACGGGACTATTAATCCTTTCAGTGCATCAAAGGCACCAAAGGGTATTAGAAACGCTTGGATGGAAATCTGGCGCGTGTTTAGAACTGTTTTTGGTTCTATATGAAACTGGTGATTAGTTGCTGTGACTCACCTGAGAGGATTTTCTCTGTGAACTAAAGATTTTAAAAAGGAGTACATTTTGCTGTGTTTATCCTCTGAAAGGTATGCGCGCTTTCCCGGCTTGAAAACTCTCATCTCAATCTTTGTTTCTCTTCAAGTATTCCCAGATCTAAATGGAATTAGTTGAGTCTGAAGCCGTTTGTGAAAGGAACAGACATGGTACATGGGCACAGCTTCCCTCACGGTAAGACATCTGTATTCATCAGCTAAAGCACACTTGGTTAAAGCTCTTATTGCTTGCTTTCATCCTAGAAGTACAGTAATCCTTAAATCGGCGTTTAGGACCCCGGACACACGAGCAACAGATCCAAACTGAATATAGGACATAGGGGTACACATTTTTGTTCTAAAAATGTTGATAGCCTATCAGGAGGTGATATGGCCACATTTTGCCTCCGAAAACCAAACTCACTGCTGCTGGGTCAGCACTTGAAGTTCTTGCCCCCCCCCCCCCCCCCTTTTTTTTTTATTCTTTCTTTGGTGCAAAGACTTATATTTGTGATAATAATTATTGTTGATGTTTTGAAAGCTCATTTGCCATAATTATTATTATTTTTTTTTTATCTAATTAACTATTTAACTAATCAATCACAGACAGTCCAAACTTACAGGCTACTTCATATTTCTGAGTTGTTTTAGACTTTTTTTTTGTTAATACAGAAAGAAACTCCCTCATTAAAATAATGAATACAAAAAGTCCTTTATACATGAGATGATGTAGGCCTTAGTTATTTTTGTGCGTTCTTCAAGGTTACAGTAAGCTAGTTTCAGCAATAGCATGGCTAGCTTTACAATCCGTGAAATCCTATATTCTACCTGAAAAGTGTTTCTTGCTGACTCAACCCTCCCTCAGCAGAAATCAAGCTGTGTTTTAACAAGTGAAAATAGCAGAAGAAACAATAAATGTAAGGAGTCACAGTCAAAGAAGTATGTGTTTTTGTCTGTTCTTACAGTTGTTGCAAGTCTTCTCATACTTGGGTTGTCTGGGGCAACAAGGAAGGATACAGCAGGTAAGCTCCATCACCAAAACCTCATATGATTTTTTTCCCCCCCATCAATATCCTCCCTCTAACATTTATATCACTTATTTGTCTTTTCTGTTTGCTGGTTGTGTTTTTAGTGAAAAACAATTCTGGAGTGAAGCCTGCAGGTCAATGTGGAACGTGGGTGAAAGAATCAGAAGGAGGGCTCTTTACGTCTCCCAATTACCCAAACAAATACCCCCCAGACACAGAGTGTGTTTACATCCTTGAAGGTAAATGTTCCCTTTAAGCACAGTGGCTGTGGGCAATGAAGGTAATCAAAGTAGTTATTCCCTGGAGCTAAAACGTTCCAGGGGTAATTCTGGGTGGAATCAACACTGTAACTTTTGGGGAAATAATGAGATGGGTTTTTAATGTGGCTATTTTCTAAAAAAAAAAAAAAAAAAAAGGAGGTGATCTGATACTTTATTGATCAGAGCAGATATTTGAAAAAAGTGAATTTGGGAGTCTAAAACTGTTAAAGCTTTGGTGTTTTACAGATGAATTGACAAACCGCCAAATTTAGAGCTGTGTATTGATTGTGTGGGCGTGCTGATAATGAAACAGGTTGAGCGTTCATCAATGGAAGCATGAGTCATATTTTACTCCCTGCTTTGTGTTTGGTAATTATTTTCAACATGTCCTCCAGCTCCCCCAAGGCAGTGTATCGACCTACACTTTGAGGAGAATTATTCCATCGAATCCTCTTGGGAATGTAAATTTGACAACATCGAGGTTCGGGATGGACCTTTTGGCTTCTCCCCAATGCTCGGAAGGTACTGCGGCCAGCAAAGCCCGCCTGACATCAGGAGTAGCGGCCGATATCTGTGGATAAAATTTGTAACCGATGGGGAACTGGAAGCGGTGGGATTTTCAGCAAACTACAACTTCACAGCAGGTACATTTTTGTTTTTTTTGTCATTTGTTTGCCTTGCTGCTCTTGTCAATTCTTTTCTGTCTCTGTGAGCACATATGTGCTTTGGAGGCCTTACAGCGAGGCTCCAAATGAATAGCAAACATCATCTAAGAAGTCGTCTTTGTTGGAGCTTCTTGAGTTTTATTTATCGTCTCTTTGCACACACTCAGTATTTCCATCGGCGATATACTGTCATTGGCTGGGACACTCTTGTAGCAAGACTGTTATTTCTTTTCTCTCAATGTCAGGAAAGATGTTTAGCAGTGTCAAAATTGAATTCAGCTCAGCAGCACCACTCCTCAGTTTACACGGTTGGAAAAGGCAAGAGCAGAGGACACTAATGGGTATTGTCGAACACAATTGTGGCAATTATGGTTGGATGTAAAACCTTGGCTTTTCTAATTTCCCTAATCTTTATTGAGGCAGCATGAGGATTGATGACAAGTAGTCAGGGTATAGCTATGATTTAACACTCCTTCACCTACACTTGACTGGGTTTAATAACACTGTCAACTTTTTTTCATGAGTTTCAGGATTTCAAGGCACAGTGCCACAAAACACGAACAGTACAGCAATTGGCCTTCACATCCACTGCACCCTCAGGGATATCAGGGATATCATACCACTGGAGATTTGAGTGTGTCATTGTTTGCATGATGAATGCTCAGACAACACATTGACCTTTCATCCAAAATACATGCTACTTGCTACAGGCTATTGAAAAGACAGCGACCGAGGGGAAGCAGGACTGTAGATTTATCTCTAAAGGCTTTATGCGTGAGCTGCTATAGAGGAATCAACATGGTGAAGCTCTTCATGGGAAATTACAGTGAACAAGTGCACTTGATAGGAATAATTCTACTGAGGGTTAAAGTGAGGGCTCTCTATCAGGGATTATTAAGAAGACTTACTGAAACCTTTCTGAGATGTGTAGTTGTAAATTGGTTATGTAAGACTACACTTAGGTAAAACAGCTGTAGCTCAGAGAATTCAGAATGAAGTGCCAAATGTGATTTTTATTTTTCTTCCCCCGCTGTGCAATTCAGAGGGGAGTCGGAGAAGACACAGACAAAGCGCTCAAAAAGTAAAACATGAATCTACACACATTTCAAGGGAGTGTCAGACACTTTTTCTCAGCTGAGGCATGAATCATTCGGCTGTGTTATACATATCAGTTGCCTTGTTAAATTCAGTTTTTGAGTTTTGTTCATGTTAAAGCTCCTGCTTGGAGTTTTAAGCTGGTTATGAAACAGACTGAAATGTATACTGATGGCTTTTAAGGACCTACAAAAGCAGTCAAGAACATCAGCGAAAATATTGATTATTTCTTAGTTAGTCTTAATGCCTGTTACAACTGCCACTGGGTAGGTGTCTTAAACGTGGATTAACATCTAATGAGGCAGCCTTGTTCACGATGTTTTTGTTGGAAACAGGAGGAGCTTTTTCATAAGAAAAACACTACTTACTCTGGTTGTAAGAGTCTGTGTATTTGTCCCAAACGGTCACGGTTCGGCAGTCCTGCAAAAAACATGATTGAGTGGATGTGCCAATCAGGGGAGCTAGTCAAAAGAAAACAGGTGTCCCATCAACATATACCTGCTGTATTTAAAGATCCTCAGGATGTGATAGTAGAGAGAGGGTCTAGGGAATTAACGAAGCTTTAGTAAAAAAAGCTTTTAGTAAAAGTGCCAATCCCCTCACCCTTCACCCTTCAAATAAACCAGTACATGTTCACTACTTTACTGGTGTACAGATGTGGTAGTTGACTATGAGTTGTCTACTGCACTAATAACAGTTGGATATACCTCCAATTATCTTTCTCACTGTATATATAGATAACTAAAAAACACTTTATCACCTCATAGTGATCATTATGCACCTTTAAGAGATTTTTTGTCCTCTCTTTTTTGTTCAATGTTGAACACACCCCTGGCTGTACCAACGGTCACATGTAGTACTAAACAACACTAAATGGAACAAATTGTAATTTGCACCACTGTCGATTTGGAGATACCTTTTTTGTGCTTTTTATTCCTTTTGTACTGAACTCGTATCTAACCATGACCCCAAAAAGCAGATATACTTACACATGTGCAGGACAGAATCAGCAAAAGAAACCGGACTTACCACACTGCACCATCATTTACCCAAACGAAAAGTTCCTCACAGTAACTTTTGACGTCTAGTTCAACTTTTTGGGAAAATTGACATTTTCTTCCAAAAGTTATATAAGGTGATCGATAGTGATCTCATGTTTGTAGAGTAATTTAAAGTGACACAGCAAGCTTGGCTTTTTTTAATACATCATAGTAAAGTCACCTTTTAAGCACCTCTACACATGTATCCAGGCAGAAAGAAAATTGAAGCTTCACTTTAATTCATTTACAAAAATACAATTGTGCGGGCTGTGTTGAGAGATCCAAACCATCCAGACGTTAGCTAATGCCTGCTACTATCTTTTATTTTTAAATATACATATTTAACCCAGCTTCTTATTGATTAAAGAATACATATATGTTCTGATATTTTCTAGCCACCTTACCTTCTCTTTCCATTTTTTTTTTCTTCAAATGAGGCTACTGTCACAAAGTCCTGGACGGACACTTTATCTTTCGGTCAGGGTGAAACAATTTGCAAAAGCTTGTGTTTAGCTCAGCTCACAAAGCACAGAGAATAGAGTTGGTATCTACATTTCCTGCTTGGCCAGTTTTCCTGATAAAAGTCAGCAAATTGTTTTTGTGAGTCAAATTTGAACAAAGTATATAAACATGAGAAGTATCACTACTGTCCCTCCCCAAAAATACATAAAAAAATGTAAGTACACATGGAGGGAAATGTGCTATTTCTGGCGCTGATAGTCAGACATATAGAGTGCTGACCACATTTGCTGTTGTGCATTATTGAATTACCGTTTCTTCTGCCTTCTTCTCGGGGGAGTCTCGTTGAAAATTTGCCAAAAGCAAAGAAAAAAAGCTCTCCCTCTTGACCGGATAGGAAATATCTGTGGCATATGATTTGCATTATTAAAGAAGATAAAAGTCTCGTATTCGCTCAACTTGTTACTCTGAAATCTGGCGATGTGAAAAGTGTCTCACATCTGCAGCTGCTCTGCTAACCGTGGTAATTCACACAGCTCTCGGCTGATGAATGGGAGAAGGAGAGAGAGAGGCAACAAAGGTGCCATGATTCTGCTCGTCTTACTCACTTTCCTCGGTCATATTAGGAGTGCAGATAGAAACACTCTGATGCTTTTCACATTCTGCCAGTGTCCTTTCAGAGCCTCGTGCACTCGATGACTAATACATATAGCACAGCAATCAGTGGATGAAACAGCAATGACTAAAATCCCACACTTTCTGGCGTAGAATTATATGCTGAGGTACTTCAGTGTATACAGCATTTCAAGTCTCCAGATGCCATACCTTCAACGTATATGTTGCATCAGAGGAAGGTAGAAATGCTGATGTAAGAGAACTAAAGATGACTCAGAAGAGTGACTAAACAAACTTGGCTGCTCCAGTGATGTGATGTGCTATTTATTTGTCAAACTAATTTCACCCAGATGCCTCACGCTTGTCTTTATCTGCGTCACAGAACTTTAACAGCAGTTACTTCTGAAGAGTGTATTGAAGGCTTTGGGGGAGGGGGGGAATTAAACAGAACATTTGTGAATCATACATAAAGCTGTTCTGAAATAATTCAGCGACAAAGAATCACTCCTCAACAATGAGGCCGTCTGGCACCTTTGTGAGTATATGCTTACAAAGCTGGAAGACTGCAAGGGGGGCTTGATTACATACTGAATGAGAAAATGTAGACTTAACTCTGAAGATACCAACAGTTCTTGAGTCCATTTGGGCTCTCCTGATGAACCACAGTCAATGCTCATTAAGATCATATGTATGTCGTCCAAATATTTTCACTAGTTTATGCTGTCTTGCCACTCTACCAAAAAGAGCCTCTTGTCCATATGGTAAATATAAAGCTAGTGCTAGCAGCCAACATTACTTCCTCAAATAAAGCGAAATGAATCCGCAAGCACCTCTGACTGACTGACTTGTTTTATCTTCCATGCTAATTTGAACAAAAACAAAAGAGAAACAACATTTTTTCGATGAAAATCTGCACGTCACTTCAGGTTGAAAGGTGTCTTTGGTTTCTCCCTTTTGCTTCAGGCAAGATTGATAGAAGGCTACAAGTAAAAGCAGAACTAGAAAGTTTATTACAAATTCTTTTGACAATGAACATGCCCTGCTTGTCAAACAGACAAACACTTAGATAAATTTTGGGTGAGTTCATATTTGTTATGAATGCTGAAGTGCTTTTACTCTCTTGTCTAATTGAGGAGAAACTAAGATTTTTCAAAAATTACAACATATTCCTACGAATTCAAACTGATGGACTATTAACTAGTCTCCTAAAACACTCAGTTAACTGAACAGATTATCATAATTATACTTTGAAGCAGTAGACAAAGCAGACTGAATATCTTGCAGGAGTAATAACTTGCCACGGTCCCAAAACAAGTCCACAAATAAAAGACGGTTCTCCCAATTAAATGGGTAGAAAAGAGTGAAAACAAAGCCTATAAAAGTGCAGGTACATAGCAAACTAAAAAAAGAGGTTCAGGAAAGAGCCCCGGGCCCAGTAAGTCACGGCATGTATTTCAATTTGCAAAATAATTCCTGGGATGACTTTTATTTCTGTTGTCTCATCCATTCTGTCTCTCTCATTATTCCTCCCAAATATATTCATGATATGAAGACACACTCTCTGTGCTGTGTGAGTGACACAAATGATAACAAAGCATAATGAGTCGAATCAAATTGTCTCTCATTGAAGCCAATACAGTAAGAAGATGCTTATTGTTCAAAGCACACAACAAGTTGCCTACCGTTGGATTCCGATGATCTGTGGAGGTCGGTTACGAACCCATTGTGTGACAAGCAGCCTTATAGTACTTACAAATAATATAACATTCC